CCTCTGTTTCATTCGGTAAATTACCTATCTCTCCGGAAATTACATCGCTGTCTTCGGACTGAAGGTCCGGAGACAGCGATAGTTCCGAGAAGTTAGGTAATTTGTAATTTACCGAATGAAACATAGGATATTTCGGTCATCTGAAATTCTTCAGGTCCCAGAAATAATGATACTGTAATAGCTGTAAATGCCGGCCTAAATCCGATAAAAATTCGTTATTTGCAGATTATCTGATTAATTAAAAAAAAAAAAAAAAAAAGATTTATCTCTTTCCTTTATATCAATGGGCCAACCAGTTCGGTAAGTATCATCTTAAGACACATTGGACTTTAAACAAATAATCGAAATTAAAATCGTTATTTTTTCTGTTGCTTCTATTCTTTACATTTTCAATAAAACGTATGCTAGTCTTTACTCCAAAGGCCGCGTTCTTGGTTTCAAGCGTTCGAAACGCAATCAATCACCAAATACGACATTAATCAGAATTGAAGGTGTCTTGACTAAAGAAGACACACAATACTATCTAGGAAAGCATGTAGCCTACGTATATCGTGCTAAGCGTGAGGTATTTGAATGTAAATGTAATTTTGGCCATAATGATTATATTATTTCAAACATAATAGTACATATAGAAAAACGGAAGCAAGATTCGCGTCATTTGGGGTCATGTAACTAGGTATTTTTTATTATTTATTAATTTTCATTTTATTTATTCTCATCCATTGTTATTAATTGTTTGAAACGTTCGATATTTAGACCTCACGGTAACGGCGGTGTCGTAAAAGCCAAATTCAGAAATAATCTACCTCCAAAGAGCTTTGGTGCGAGTGTTCGAATCGTAAGCATAAGTTTTATCATTTTTATTTATTTTCCAAGAGATGAGATCTTTATTTACATTTATTTGTTGAAATTCAAGATGATGTATCCATCACGCATTTGAAGTCAATAAGGTTGCGATGAGTGTCGAAAATTGATTGACCTTCTCAATATTTCAAAACGTAGAATAATGCTCTTTTATTTAAGAACATTCTTGTGAGATCTAATTTTCTTTATAAAAATATATCACTTATGTTTTGTATTCTTGTTTAATAAAAATTTTATTAGTAATTTCCGAGATTGAAAATTAATTTTCGTGATCTACCTGGAAACAAACAACAGATTAATGTTGGCAAAAGTTGGTCTTTATTAGTGAATTGATCCGTCTAAAAAATCTTCACCCGGGTCACCTAGCGGGTGGGCAATGTGTCACTCGGGTCAGCTTCAAAACGTCACCCGTTGGTCACCCGACAGGTCACCTGTCGGGTTACCTGACGGGTCAGTATCAGTTTAAAAAACTACCCGTGTTCAGAATTACGATCTGGTCATTACAAAATTATGCGTACGGCAAATCTTAAACGAACTATGCGATATCTAAATTAGGGTTAGAAATCACCAGGGATTGGAACCACAAAAAATTAAGTAGGAGCCACTCAACTATAAGTTACATGATTACAGTTGTTTTAATTAATTTTGGAACATCTGGTAACAAATTGACCGAATGATTATTTGGCGATTCGATTAAATTAGTGATTTCGGCATGATATATTCAACAAAATTGTTATATATACTAATTTAAGATCAGATGACTAATATAAATATTATAAAAATATAATACTTTTAAAGAAAAAAATTTTAGAGCTTATTAGTTCGAAAAATTGCCAAAACTTAGACATCAGTTCGAAAAATTGCATATCCTCTATATGCAAGTTTTTAAACACATTCAAAGACATGGATATTTAAATTTGAAGTCAGATGATATATGCGTTGTGTGCATTTAGTGACTATTCGTCAACCAACAGGTCACCCACGGGTTAACCTACCCAGGTTGTAATGAGTGACTCACCCACCCATGGATAGGGATGTAAAAAGTTCAGTCTGGTCCCAACTCAAGTATTAATTTGTACTTGGTCCCAAATTAGGTTTGGAACAAAAATTTTTCAAGTCATGTGAAATATTAGTATATCATATAATATTATATACCAATAAATAATATATGATATATTTTACATTTATTTAATAAGTAAATAGATATAGATATGTATATATAATAGGACGTTACTACATAGCGACCTGTCGCCATGGCGACCCTATATGAATAGCCAATCAAAATTGAGCATGTGACTATATAATATATTGCTTATTATTGCCCAA